TACACTCACTGACTTATTCCTTCACTCACTCGTACATTAGTTCACTCTCTCCCTCCCTACATACATTATTTAACTATCTCCCTCCCTCCCTCATACACTAACTATCTCCCTCCCTCATACATTATTTAACTATCTCCCTCCCTCCCTCCCTCATACACTAACTATCTCCCTCCCTCGTACATTATTTAACTATCTCCCTTCCTCCCTCATACACTAACTATCTCACTTCCTCCCTCATACACTAAAAGCAAAAAATGACAGACAATATAAGTTTAGGGAATGGCATCGAAAACTTATCTGTTATATATAAGACAACAGACGAAGATTTCCTGTTGTTGGCCGATGTTGTCAACCTGTTTCTTCCCCGTGTGTGTGTGTGTGTGTGTCTGCTAGTCTGTGTGTGTGTGTGTGTGTCTGTAAGTATGCGTGTGTAGGGATGGGGAGGGGGGGGGGACGCTTCCATCATTGAACTTCAGTATGAAGGCGATCTCACCCTCGCCAAACACACTGAGCGCGACCTACAGGAGAATCTGAAAACCTACGTTAACGCTTGTGCACACTTCGGCCTTGAGGTGAACGTACGCAAGACACAGATTCTGTTACAGTCTGCCCTTGGTTCAGTCACACCTTCACCGTCCTTCCAGGTTAATTGTTCTTCTGTACTACCCTCTGCAACGCTAACCATTTCCAGTATCTTTGGTCCCATCTGTCCACCACAACAATCATCTAAGTCTAAGAAATCAAGCATCAACACCGCGGACATAGATAAAGAGATCCAACGCGGGATCAGATGTGCGTCTCAGGCCTTTGGCAGACTGCGTACCTGTTTCTTTAGCTATAAGAAGCTGAAATCATCAATAAAGTTATATTTATATCGAAAAGAGATCGTCCCCACCTTGCTGCACAGTATGGTAGCAAGACATGGGAGACATACAGGAAACACCTCCAGGCACTTAAGAACTTACATAAATGTAGGCTACGTTCCATCCACTTGAGTCCACTGGGAAGACAAGAGAACAAATGCCAGTATTCTCGTTTACACAAATTACAGGGGCATCGAGGCTGACATTATCTATGGACAGCTACGTTGGGCTGGCCATGTTACCCACGTGGACGACAGTAGACTGCAAATGCAGCTACTCTACAGTCACCTAAGGAATGGTGAAAGTAACGCTGGTGGGCATCGGAAAAGGTGTAAGAATAGTTTTAAAACAAACCTGAAAAAAGTATTACATCGACCAGGGAGACGATTACTCCACACCGTAACGCTTGGAGGAGCACCACACGAGAAGGTGTCAATACTTTCGAGTTAACCCGATTGCATACCGAGGCAGACAAGCGTCAACGCCGGAAAGACGCTGTCACCGCCCCTCCCGCACTAGATGTAGCCCTCCACTCATACAACATAAGCGGATGGCCCTGTCGGTCTCGTATTGACCTCTTGAGCCACCTCAGAGCTCACTAACGAAAGTGATATCATTATTAACTCATATCATTCGGTCATCGCTAGACGATCGTCATACTCGATTCCGAATGACGGCAGGGTAGTAGTAGTAGTAGTAGTAGTGTGTGTGTGTGGGTTGTACGGATTAGGTTTACCAAATTATGTGTAACTGAGGCGTAGCATAGCGTGTAAAACACATGTGTAACATAAGTTACATAACACAGGTATGGGCTGATAGATAAGAGAACGCATCTAGTTCCGTTCATTAGTCGAGTCTCAGTACAAAGTCGACGTCATTTTGGCCTCTATATTTGCGTCGTTTGCCGAAGAGTATCTCAATGGAAAGAATCCATTTAAGAGTGTTTTTCAAAATCCGTTGAGCCAACATACGAGATTATTGTGACCAGTAAGGAACTCCTCTTCTGGGAGCCCGCTACCAGCTACTCAGAGAGGAAGAACGGAGGGAGGGAAAGAAGAGAGGGAGGAAGGAAAATACTGTGAAGGATGAAAGGTAGCAAGAAAGAAGCATGGGAAGAAGGAAGGAGAGAAGGAGGGAAGGAAAGGGGAAAGGAAGGAAGGAGAGAGGGAAGGAAGGAAGGAAGGTTGGAGGATGGGAGGGAAGGAGACATAACGGTATGGCCATATATGAGCACCTCGCTGGCGCGGGTCTTCTGACCTATAGTTGGTGGCCGAGTGCTGGTCACTCACCACACAGCTGAACGACACACACAGACACACACACAGAGAGAGAGAGAGAGAGAGAGAGAGAGAGAGAGAGATCTATGCTACAGCGTCTGCAGTAGAGCATCACAGATCACCCACACATCCAACACCCAGTCACCCACACGGGAATGGAAATAACATTCAGATATATGCAACCTGAAGGAGGGTGCATGTAGCGGCTCGCCTCCTTCAACACCAGGGGTGAATGACCACTGCTGGGCACCAGGTCCACTGCCCACAGCCTCGCCGCCACCACCACCACAGCCTTACCTCACCCCCTCCCACACTCGGTACTGCGTTCACCCACCGGATATATCAAACCTTGCCGTTGGTGCTGCTGACGGAGGGCTGCTGGTGGGGTTGTAGCGTAGGGGGTGGTGGATGATGGTTGTGTTAAGTAGATGAACATTGTGCTGGGAAGGTTTCTTAGGAATGTGTTTAAAATGGTGGGTTGTGTGAGGTAGTGGTAGGGGTGGTGGAGGTCATAGTCGTGGTAGTGACTGTGTTGTGGCTTAGTAGTAAATGTGTTGTTGTTTGGATGTATGTATGTATGTACAGTATGTGTGTGTGTGTGGATGTATGTATGTATGTGTGTGTGTGTGTGTGTGTGTGTGTGTGTGTGTGTGTGTGTATGTTTAAGTGTATTTGTATCTGTGTATGTGAGTGGTTCAGTATGTTTGTTTGTGCGTGTTTGCATGGGTGATTTTTATTGTAGGTCTGTATATTAGTTTTTTAACAGACAGACAGACAGACAGACAGACCACAAAGTGAAAATTAGTTTACAATGATGAGTATATACAGTAAATACAGAGACAGACATTTAGGAAGATAGACAGACAGAGAAGCAAACAGACAGACAGAAGAAACCTCAGCTGGTCTCAGTTCCAGATGGACAGTCGCACCTGCACTCGGTCAATATTATGATCGTCAACATTAGCCCATAGTGATGATGAGCCTGGATCACTACCTCCCGCCCGTGTTGAAGTCTCCATACACAGGGGAGGGAGGTGGAGGGTGACTCTTACAGTATACTGAGTCACATGAATATTAGGCACCCCAGCTTATTTCTCTTGATTAAATATCCTAACGCTGATCCAATCTAATCTAACGCTAACCTAATTTATTAACCTCAACCAGGGTTAACCAAACATAACTCGCCTAACGCTAACATAACCTAACCTAATATAACCTACCATAACTTAACCTAACCAAACAATCTAATATAACTTAACCTAACTAATTCAACTAAAGCTAACCTAACTCATTTCACCTCTTAACCTAATCAAACCTACACTAACCTATATTAAAATAACCTAACCAGGTAATTAAATCATCAGATGAAATAAGCTTGGGGGGGCTAATCTTCACGTGATCCGTTTTATCTACACTCTTAGGCTCTCTGTCTCACAAACTTTACATTAAATAAAATATATTAAGATTTATTTCCTCAAACACGTCAAAGGCATTAACGTATATTAAGTCAGATATTGTAAGTTATATAGAAAAAAATGGACTATAGTTTTGTACGTGGTATAGTATGGTCAACACACTACTTACTGTTGGGTCCAGGTTCAATATAGTGTGTCTTTAATATTGTATGAACCAGATAGACAGATGCATGGACAAAAATGGACATCAGCACGGAAGAACAAGAGAATGCATGTATACTGTGAGTTAAAATGACCACCTTTGTTATGTTGTTGTGGAACTGTTTGTGTTTATGATGACCACGAACACAATCTTTCCCCATGGTGTGTGTGTGTGTGTGTGTGTGTGGTGTGTGTGTGCGTGCGTGCGTGTGTGTGTGTGTGTGTTGGCGTCCTTCAATCTATAACTGCTGGTAAACATGAGAGGAATTCAGGCGTTTGGCTAAAATAATATAAATAATAAAAGTTTACCCCTTAGGATGAGGGTGTATACGTGATGATGGATGATGCTGCTGTCTTGTGATGTGACAGGGATGACTCAGGGTTGATGTGTTAAGGGAGTATCACAAAACACGATCTTGTACAGCATTAAGAATGAAAGAATAACAACGGGTAAAAGAAGAACGTGTGTGTGTGTATATAATGATCTTGCGTCCGGTCACACAAACGAGAACTTTGATCTTTCTTTAACATTACATATAGACACAGTAATACACGTCAGCCTTGTAATTTTCTTATACCCAGTTCGACGTTCTACCCAGGCAGGTGTTGATGAGATGAAGAAAAACGTGAATATTGTTAATTAGCGGGAGATTGCCCTTATGAGACGGGTGACGAGTCCCCCCCAGCTGCGAGACATTAACTAGTGACAAACACTTATACAACTTGTGTCCACGTAGCGACGAAGGGTAGTTTGGAAACCACGGCGTTGTCTTCGTCGCTCGTGCTGGTCAGATACCGGGATAAGGATAAAATATCGGGTGGTATTTAACTGTACATGGTAAAGGCTTTAACCTGGACACACACACACACACACACACACTCTGACATGTGTGGTATAGGTAAGAGTTTCTGCTACAGCACAACACAACACTTTCAACACAGTGTTAGCACCGTGATAGCCTGGTGTTGTCGGGTCTCGAGGCTTACACTCTCCTGGGGACGATCCTTCAATAACTTCACATGACTTTTACTGTTGTGACGCCAAATGTATTACAACCAAATCAATCCATCACTTACCGGTGCCATTATACCTGGAGTATTCATGTGTCTGTCTGTGTGAGTGATGCTTTATGTTGTCTCCTACGATGACGATGACAGGTTCTGTTGGTCTTAGGAAAGGTAACACTCGCAGGTCCCCGAGTGACTGGTGGAGTAAGAAGAAACTGTAGAGGGATAGTACTCACCCTTGATGGAGTTGATGACGAGAGCGACGAGGATGACATTCAACCACTCCATCCTGGCAGAAACTCAGCTGGTGCCACGGGTCATCTAGAGCCACCTGGGGTCACGGTTCAATGGGGATCAAGGGAGTAAGGGAAATACACTTCACACGACGACAAGTTGCGAAAGTACTATTTTCAGTGCGTTATCAGGAAGACGTTTCTCAACAAAATAAGGTAATATTTTGTTGGTCTCTGAACCACTCGATATAAATGTTTCCGAAAAAGATTCATCAAATCACAACACTCAGAAGGTCGTGTCAAGCGCCGGGACGAGGGAGGTGTGGTGACCGTGGCCGTGAAAGGGAGAGTGTGCGCGAGGCTCCACAGACCACAGCCAACTATGCTCACCGCTCCGCGCTCACTTACCTGTCGGCAGGAAGGAGTAGGGAGGGGAGGGGGAGGGTACTGGTCGCTGAGGATGGGAGGGAGGTGAAGGAGAAGGAGAGGGGGCGTTGAGGGCCGAAACATGAGGAGGAAATCAACCAGCGGTAAAAGCGAAACGAGGGTGTCATCGTGGAGGAGGTGGAGGTAAGAAGGTGGGTGTCTATTGAGGTGGCTGAGGGTGTACACATGTGGATGGTGCGGTGTACCGGAGGAGCCATAACCGCGTGACAACCTCAAATTTTACAGAAAAAAACTAGACAACACAACCAAGGAAGAAGGTGCAGGAAGTGTAAATACTCTGTTGATGGAAGACAAAATACCGACCCAAGAAAGAGTCAACTCAGACTAAAACAATCCACTCCACCTTTGTTAAGTGTTAGCCTGAGTGAGAGGAGCATGTTGAGGCCAATAATTCAACATCACACTGAACGATCACATTGTGGTGTTACTCTCCTGGCCTTTCTCTCACTAACACAAAACTTCCTCATTTGAATAAGTCAACAGAGCCCCGGACCATGGTGGGAGTAGGGGGGGGCCCTCTGTCATCATGTGTGGGAAACGAACACTTTCCCTAGCCACAGACGGGAAGACCCTTAGGTAACGTTAAGTGCCACAAGTGCTCCACAAGTGTTGGCCCGGACCACACACACTTAACGCACCATAACGGCACTTATACACTGCTCAGCTAGTATAGTGGTTCACGCTAAAACTTTATCGTTGAGTGGCGGAATTCGCGCATGCGTAGACGATCGTGATGAGAACTCCAGATGTGTCACCATTTATTTTTTATTTATTTTTATTAACAATCCCTTCCTGGTGGTAGTGGTGGTGATGGTGGTGATGGTGATAGTGGTGGTTGATTTTTTTATTTTGCCGCTTACAGCGGCTACTTTATTGTGCACCCCACACTCATCCTGTGAGCGGTAGCGCAAAAGGATTACAGAGTAGAGTTTACAACGGGTCATAATAATTAACCCCCGTTGTCAGGATATTATGCCACTGAATGTTACACAGTATTTCAATTACATTATTTGTTTAGTTCTATACATAAAGGGTAACTTATTCACAAATGCGTGAGTACAGGCGTGTGAGGCAGTATGTCTGGCCGCACACTTTGTTATTCACATTTGCGTGAGAAGTATTCAAGCACATTGCGTATTTGGTTCTGTACATGAGAACTGATATAGTTACTAAGTGCAAAAGAGTGGATACAATCTTAATATGTCGGCTATCTTGCCATTAGAGATGACGTGTTGTGCCATTTCACACACACTGTGTGCTTGGACCTGTCCCTAAAAGGTTCTATCTTCACACAGTCGAGGACGTAGTGTTCAAGCGTGTGGCCATATGTCTGGCCACACACTTTACATTTAGTCTTGTTTACATCTGCTTGAGGAACATACTGCCAGAGGTACTTATATCTTAACCTTAATCTAGCGGTTACATCTTGTAATCTAGTGATCTTGTTACTTGTTCCATATACATGTTTCACTTGATACATCTCATTATGGTAAACTATGGATCGACTAGTGCCTGTTTGCACTAGTCTACTTGCGTCAAACTCATCAATAAGTTCTTTGCTAATTACAGTTTTAAGGGTTCTTTTTGACAGACCCAAATTGTATTCAACGGTGTCTTTGTTAGACGCGAGTTTGGCGAGGGCATCAACTCTGTCACGTTTTATGAGGCCTATGTGAGAGGGGATCCACAACAGTTTGTCCTTGACACCCCGGTCAACAAGGCACGCATATTTGTGTCTGGCTTCAGAGACAAGCGCGTGACAACTTGAGTCGAGGGTGCCAAGGGCAAGTAGTGAGGATAGAGAGTCAGTGATGATGAGACTGTCAGTAACAGTGGTTTCAATGAATTTAATAGCTGTGAGTATGGCAACTAATTCAGTTTGTAGAGTGGATGCCCAGTTGTTAATTCTAACTCCTTTCTCATTTATATTACCGTCAGGTTGAGTCACAACAATAGCACTTGTGGTGGTGACAGTGGTGGTGACGGTGGTAGTGGTGGTGACGGTATTGGTGGTGAGGGTGGTGAAGGTGGTGGTAGTGGTGGTAAAGGTGATATTGGTGGTGATGGAGGTGGTAAGGGTGGTGATGGTAGTATTGGTGGTGACGGTGGTAGTGGTGGTGACGGTGGTAGTGGTGGTGATGGTGGTGGTGATGGTGGTGGTAAAGGTGATAGTGGTGGTGATGGAGGTGGTAAGGGTGGTGATAGTAGTAGTGGTGGTGACGGTGGTGATGGTGGTAGTGGTGGTGATGGTGGTGGTGGTAGTAGTGATGGTGGTGGTAATGATAGTGGTGGTAGTGGTGATGGTGGTGTTGGTATTGTTGTTGGTGGTAGTTGTGGTGGAGTTATTCGAGATGGTGGGAGTGGTGGTGATGGCGGACATGGTGGTAATGGCGGACATGGTAGTAGTGGTGGAACTGGTGGTGGTGGTGACAGTCTGATCGGAGCTCCTATCGTAAGACATCACTAGTAGTGGTTCCTCATGTCGGGAAATTCAACTCCGGTCACCACTGCTCCTTCCTGGAGGTAATGTGTGGAGGAAGGAGGAAGTACTGTGTGTGTGTGTGTTGTGTGTGTGTGTGTGTGTGTGTTTGAATGTGTGGAAGTATATGTGTGTGTGTGTATTGTAATTGTATAGATGTGTGAGCGTGCGTATGCATACGAGTGTATCAAAGTGTAGTATAGTATAAGTAGTGTACATTCAAAGTGCACTTCATGATGCACTACACGGCGCATGACTGCACGTCAAGAGTCAACTGATAATACATGTCTGGATAACAACGCATGACGGGGTAAAAAATTAATCCTGCATGTACAATGATAAACGCATGACAGCATATCAGATGATCTCACCAGAATATACCACAGAACGCATGACGGGGCACCAGATACCGCATGATGTGGCAGTCGACACATGACGGGGCAGGACACATCCTATATCTCCCACTCCTCGTTTGTAGTTACAACAATAGGAAAAAAAAAATCTTGAAATATTGCCCTTAAGTGAGGAGAAGATAGTGTAAGCGTTGTGTGCGTGAGCGAATGTGTTTGACAGTCAATCCATACAGGGACATTCAGACAGTCTTACAGGGACAGTCAAACAGTCCACACAATAAATTTAACTCGCATTTTTCTTTGGACATCTACTTAACATTAATAATAACTAGCTGACATAGTGCATGACCATCCCCTAGGCCACCCGCACCTCCTACCATATTTCAGCTCTATCTTCAAAACTGTGGAAATGCGTAAAAAGCAGAACACACACACACACACACACACACACACACTACTACTGCTGCTACTACACACACGCACACACTACTATTACTACTACTACTATTACACACACACACACACACACACACACACACGGAATGTAATATATTGGTGGTGATGGTGGTAGTGACGACGTTGTCCTTCATGCATACACCGTGACCAGCCTCATATATATATATACATATATGAGGCTGGTCACGGCGTATGCATGAAGGACAAAGTCGTCATTAAATAATCCCCGTCAAGGTTAATAAGGCCTGATAGACCTTCAGGGGAATGGCGGCGCCTGGGAGTGTGACTGGCAGGACACAGTGGCTGTTTGTTGTCCTGGGTCCTTCTCACTCCTTCGCTGTGACACAAATTACTAGCGATTCAATTTGGTATTATTTGACCATCAACACACACTGGCAGCTGCAGGGTGAGGAACAACTTAATGAATGTGTGTGTGTGTGTGTGTGTGTGTGTGTGTGTGTGTGTGTGTGTGTGTGATGTCACTAGGTACACAGACTATTCCCTCTCACACACACAAGACGTTCAAGGACACAAACTGCATTCTCACTAGATCCTCATCCTTGTCATTATCCTTCTAGTTGACCTTCTGCCGTGTTCTAATATCTCTCTCTCTCTCTCTCTCTCTCTCTCTCTCTCTCCCCTTCTTAAAACTAAAACGTCTTCAAGTTAGTTCCAACAGAGGTCATATGTAGCCAACCTGAGACATCACCCACCGTATTGCCCTCATTACCAGCCGACGAAGGAAATGCCAGTCGATGCAGAGAGTTCACCGCCTGACACCTTATCGTGGGAAGGTGGGTGGGAGGGGTGTTTTTGGTCTTAACCCCGTCAGACCTCGAGGACCTGGGTTCGAAATTATGTCGCTTCAATTGGGATTGTCGGTGTTGCCGTGAGTGGTTTGGTAGATGGGCAATATACGTACACACACACACACACATACACACACTACATACATACACACACACACATACTGGGAGGGTAAACATCGGCAACAAAACAACAAGGTAATAATGAAAGACAATTAATCATATATTCTCGCCCCAGAACACAGTAACGGAGGTGGCTATTGTATGTTGCTTTAATTACCAAGAGACCGATGAACCTGTATGTATGTATGTATGTATGTATGCATGCATGTATGTGCGTGGGCGCTTGTCAGTTTACAAACACATTTTCAGTATTCCTGGTAATATCACGTCATTTGGTACAAGAATCATGCACGGTAACTGTCAGGAAGCACTCTGTCATCTACATACATTTAGTCAATATAAAACTTTCCGTTCTTGATCTGACTGACAGTGTGATCTCAGGTAAATTAATTTTGTCAAAGTACGTTTTAAGATATCCAATGACTAGTTCCTGTTCACTCCTGTTGTCACATGCTTAAGGTTTCAAGAAGGGCGCCATCTAGTTATATGTACAATCATAGACAAAAGTAGTGTCGCGGTTTTGTCCGAAGATTAAATATAACTCGTGAAACATTATGATAGCCCCCTACCACAAGGCAGAGCATACCAAAAGTTTAGTCCTTCGGCATATATTTTCACTAAATTTCACGACACGACTTTTGTCTTTCATTGTACAACATCAATTTTGTTCAGGTGACTTGTTTTACTGCATCTGTTAGAGA